ATAGTGGTCATTTGGGTTTGATAAATCTCCTTCTCTAGTATATTACTTAGGAAGGGCTTGTAAATACAATATTCTCTGAATTATTGTATTTTAACATGTTTTCTTATGTTCTTGTTACTTGAATGACAACTTAGCTGTTACTGTCTTGTCACTCTCATTGTTACTCTAAACCCTGTCTCACTGCTTTTCACTGCCTTTTTAAAAAATTTATTTGATATGTTGCTCCACTGCTGTCGTGTATATTGCTGATGCCAACCTAATTGTGTTTCAAGTGTAAGTGGCTTTGTATTTTTGTATGGAGGCCCAGAGGGTTATAAAAAGCCTTTATGTTGCAAGTCTAACAGCATAACTTATATCTCAGAATTAAGAACTCCAGTTATCCTGTCATCCTTTCAATAAGTAGATTCAGGACTTAGTTTAATTCTGGAATATTCTCTTTGATTATAGTTTTAAATAGAAGTTCTGTCAGATTCATCTAAGGACTCCAACTATGGATATGTTGACACTTCTTGAACTGTCTTCTACCTTTTTCAATTTCTGATCCTTTTAATCTTTTTTAGAATTTCATTTTTATTGTACATGCTTAGTTTTCCATTTAATGCCTTCTTAAATTTCAAGTTAAATCTGTTCTTCCTTAGTTTCTAGTACTTTAGTCAAACTGAGATTATTTAATGTTTTCAAGTTATTTCCTGAATTAATTTACTTCTTATTTCAAATTTCATTTTTTTACATCTGAAAATGTTTGTATAATGTTAATCCAGTTTACAGCATTTTATTGCATTTTTCTTCATGTTTATTTTTGTGTGAGGGAAATTTACTGAAATGTTTTGATTCCCATTTTCTGTTTTTGCTTTTAGGAATTTTGTTTGGATGCTTTCTCCAAATTCTGTTTCAGTTTGAAATGTCTTATATATATACTTAGGCCCACAATAATAGGCAGGGATATAGAAGTTTGAGTGGATTACTGGGCTTCTTAGTTCTAGAGTGTCTCCTTTGTTATGTATGGTGAAGTTAGATGTTTCTTTAATCAATGAAGCTATTTATTGGGAAGGGATTATGTCTTCTTCTGTGGAAATGGAGAAATGAGAAGTAAGATTCCTGTGGTATGTCCAAGAGTAGATGTCCATGGTATTGGTTTTTTTCCTCCCACAGCCATATTTAGAAACCCAAGCATTGGTCTGAGGATGTTTTCAGCATTATTTACTCATAAGCAAATGCAATAGATAAACAGTGAGGAAAAGGGGTAAGAATTTTAGTTAGCAGTTGAAATTCTGAAACATGGTATTTAAACTGGATAGGAAAATATGTGAACACAGACAGATTATAACAGAAAATGTAATTTATTGGATACTTACTACAATGCCTGGCTATTTTCCCTGTACTTTATATGCATTCTCATTAATCTCATATATTATTATTAGTTACAAGTAAAAAAACATTCACTCTTTTACAGATAAGGAAACTAAGGAATGGAGAGATTAATAACTTGCTCAAGATCATGTAATAGCCATAAATTAATAACCAATGAGAATTTATTACACTGAACTGTTGAACAATCAAGTTATCTTCAAATAACCTTACTGAAAATGTAGAAAATGATGATGAAACTATTGACTCTACTGTTTTTATGAGAGTTTAACTAGGTTAAAATAAAGACTGACATTTTTTTAATTACTCATTTTCCCTAAATTATAATGCCAAAAGATAGCAATACAAATGTAAAAATAATGTACCATTTGAAACTAATGCAGCTTAAAACAAATCATAAAAGTAAAGGATTGTTTAAATCCTAACTTTTTGGTGGCAGTAGAGCCACCGATATTTATGGATCTTCCAGTCTGTGCTGAGAAATGTGTAAGGCACTTTCACAAAGGCTCTTATTTTATTTCCCTAAAAAAAAAAAACTGAAACTGTGAAGTTGGTAGTATTAATGTCATTTAGGCATTAAGATCAGATTAAGGGAGATTAAAGACTTTACCCCAAAGTGCCATCAGTTACATGGCAGGGCTAGAATTCCAGGCTCAGTTCGTGTGATCCCTTCTATACATGATGGCCTCCAAGCTCCTTGTCTGTTTATTTGGTCAGCCAGGAGAAGCTTCCCCAGTCTTACATCTTCAAAATACCCTCTGGCATGCTAGAGATTTGTTTACAAACTAGAATAAACCAGGCAGTGAGATCAAAGTTAAAATAAAGTGTTTAATAACAAAGTAAGGATCATCCTCAAAATTTGGTTATATTTTAATGGTCACACACCTGATTTGGAGGGTTGCTATGGCCACAAACTAAACTACTCTGCATCCTTTCGTTTTTATGGGTAAGTACCAAAGACCACAGCATGAAAGGAAATACACATGCAATGCAAGCTTCACTGTCTGCTTTTGGTTCAATTTCCTTGTTAAAAATAACAGGTTTGTTGTGGAATAAATCACCTTTGACATTAGCTGTAGAAATGGGGTTGAGGAATAATGTTAAGTATGATATTTTCACAATTATTTTATACCATGGAAGGAGTTAATAATAAAGTAGCAAAATGACAAGTTAGAGGTAGACACACGCTCTATGCCTTTTTCTGCCAGCCAGGTCGTGAAGGCAGTCAAGTGATCAAGTTCTTGTATTTGTTTTTTTTTTATGGAAAATAGCCAAGTAGAAATTACCTTGCATCTCCCAAGGAAATGTTATTAAAAGAATAAAGGCAACACTCCGAGGTAAAGATTATTGACCATCATCTTGTGGTGACTAACAAGGACTATCAGTAACCCAAAGACCTCCTGGGAACCTGTTAGAAATGCAAGTTCATAGAATCCGCCCCAGACCTGTTGAATTGGAAACTGGGGTGAAGTCCATAATCTGCAGTCTAACAAACCCTCCAGGGGATTCTGGTGCAGCTCATGTTTTGAGAATCACTGCTGTAGATTATAAAGAATAGATGATATTTTGTTCAAATAATTCTGTATCATTCTGATTATGTGTCCTAACAAGAAGTAGGAAGAATAAAATAATCCTCAGATAACTGTGGAACTTTATCATTGGTAAACCTTGCTCGTGGTCAGTTGCTTTTTAAAAAAATCTCTTGCTAAATAGAATCAGACTGGGTCAAGGTCAGAGAAGTAAAAGGAGAAATTTTCTAACCAAAGTAGTCATGTAATACAAATTAGTCATTTCTACTCTTTGACAACTGCCCTATCCCGCTTTGTATACAGATCTGAACTGCAGATTTGTTTAATGAGTCACACATGACAGGCCCCGGAGACGGGGGAAATTAAGTGGTCTAATGATTGACTTGCAACTATGCAATAATCCTCAAATCATCAGAATCAGCCAGAGATTTGTTCAAACATATCCTTGGGCTCTACCTTCCAGAGCTTCTGTTCTGGAAGGTCTCCAGTAGCCCTTGAAGTTTTGCATTTTGAAAAAGTTCCTGCATGAAGTGAAGCTGACCTGGGTGGTGTGGGGACCGTACTTGAGAACAATGAATCTCCCTGATGGTTCATACAAGTGTTGGGTTCAGGTTTCACCATTGCATTATCTCCCTCTTGTATTAGGACCTAACATAGCTCTTTTCTCTATAAATTTTCTGGCCTTTGAACCAAGTAAATCCAAAATACATTTTGTTTGTCTGTATTATTTTCATAAGCTTTTCTGTAGAACCATTGGGTCAACAGAACCTCCCCTTCCCCCAGTTTGGTTAATTTACAGGAAAACATTATTCTTTGTTTCCTCTATCATCGACTGTCAGCTAGTGTTTGTAAATAGAACTGAAACATGAAATACTTGGCATTTCACTGTGCTAATGAAATGCCAGAACTCATAAAAGAAGGGGAATCAGTGTTTATATGTGGTATGGTTGAATTTTTCCTGTGAGTGCTGAGTATGTTCTCCAGTTGTTACTGGTTCTTCCCTCTGTGGTTCACTGTCTATAATTTTGAGAAATTCATTAGAATATGAAACTGTGGAAACGAGTGGTGGCATATGCTTCAGAACATGTATTCTGAGAGTCTTTCCCCCTCCAACCTATGTAACTCAGGCATTTGAGGTATTTACAAGAAAAAATGCTTTTGTTTTACTTTCTCTGTTGCTCTCAAGTAGGATAAAATATTCTCTCTGGTGTGAAACAAGTGTGGCATAATTGTTTGCAGAGAACTTGCCTTGTTACGACAGAAACAAATTCATGGCTCTTAATGACTCTTAGGTTTCAAAAAGCCTAAATGTTTGAGGGGGTGTGTGTGTGTGTATTTCAGAGGCTCTCCTCCACTGCTCTTTATTTGGTTTAATCTGTGTGGATATGATACATTTTAGGATTAATCTAAGGTAATACTTACGGTTAGTAAGTATAGTGTCAGATACTTTCATATATACTAGCAATTGATTCATTTGGGAAAAACTGTTAGGGTGCTAAAAGGTGGATGTAAAATAAGATGCTGAAATAATCTGAACACAGTAATTTAAAGCTATATAACTGAAAACTATTATACTTTTGGCAGCTAGCAAAAAATATGCATTTTAGATATTTATCTTAAAAAGGGCGATACTAAATTAAGATGCCAAATAATTTCTAGTAATAATCCGTAAACAACTCCATTCTTAATGAAAGCTTTATTTTGGGTTTAAAATGCAATTCTTGGGAAGCAAGGTCAAATTAGGTGAAAAGGATGATCAATTTTAAAGTAAAAATGAAAATACAAATAAATATGAAAAGGATTGATATAAACAATGATCAAAGAAGATAAGAATGATATCCTATTCTCTTAAGAGTATACAGTACCACTTATTTAATAACAACTTATCTACTGTCATTTATAGATTTGATATTTATATAGTCACTTGATGAATTTCAGAATAAGTTATTTGCTGTCAAGAGAAGTTAATATTAATAATCTAGAAATAGTTTTTAAATTTTCTGTTTGTATCTAGTGGCTTTACTATTTTAAGTTGTAACAGTTATTTTTATTTAATAAGCATGCCTGAAAATGGAATTCTCTATTTCTTTTTATCATTGAAAGGGAGAAGCAGGACCTCCAGGCGCCCCAGGGCAGGACGGATCAAGGGGAGAGCCTGTGAGTACTTTCTCAATTCGTTTCTAAAGGTGAAGTTCTTTTCCTGTCATGAATTCTTTGACTATTTAAAGTCTCCTCCCAGAAGCCCTTGTCCAGTCACTTCCCGTCCAGATTTGGATATTGTAGAAGCTCTCTGTAGAACACTATAAAATACTGAAATATTTAATCCTCTTTGCATACCAGGAAGAATTTTGCTAGCAGGAAATGTTTGTGCAGTATGAATCACAATCACAAATACTCATGCCTACGCAAACCGGTGGCCACACAAGCACTAGAGTCTGTTGCTGAACCTTTAGTCAGTGTCAGTTTGCCACTGCATTGTTTGGTAGTATGCTCTGTGTGATCATGTGTTCAATAAAAAAACAGGGAAAGAAACATGATAGAGAAAGTACTGAGTCTGAATGTTGTGTTTTAATCAAGTGTTCCAGATGACTCGACTTTAGATGAGTTTTGGAAATACAGTTTTCCCTACCTTTTGTTCCTACAGAGCGTGGCCAGCATTGGCCAGCATTTAAATACCAGCAGATCTTATTTTATTTGTCAAAGTTTCCTGTCTTAAGAGAATTTATAATTTGTTTTGGAAATTAAATAATAGCCAAGATATATTGCAGTTTAGCACAAAATGTTCAGTTGAGTGCTCAGAATCTAAATATGGGAGGTAAGAGGGAGAGAGGAATCCCCAGGGCTTTTTAAATGGGGTGAGATTGAACTACTTTTAGAATCAGTTGTTATGCCCGAATCACGGCGAGTCCCAAGAACCACTGGAGGACTCAGATAGCATGCAAAAACAAAGAGCCTTTATTAAAGCAGTACAAGCTCGAGTTTGGTCACCCAACCGGCCCGATGTAGCGGGACTTGGTTCGGGAGCCCCTGTGAATGTTACAACAGGATTTTTATGCATTCAAGAGGGGCAGTTAGGGGGTTTCCTCCCAGGCAGAACTGGGATTGGTTGACCTTTAACTAGGGCTAACTTGTTTCAAGCTGATTGGGTCATTAGAGGGTTAGCTCTCTCTCTCTGTTCGTGTAACGCTCTTAGGGTTCTTTCCCGCCCGAGTCTGATTGGCTGAAGCGGGCGTTTGTGGTTTTTCTTAGTAACTGGCTCTTGGTACAGTTATGGGGTAAGACTCTTGGTAGGGGCATGGGGTAAGAGTTTAACTTCTCTAAGATGGAGTCTCTTTGGTTAAGTAAGTTTAACTTCCCCAAGATGGAGTCTCTTTGGTCAAGTCTTGCTTGGTTCTCTCACAATCAAATATTAATGAATTCCCATTTTGTGTATTATCATGCACTGGGGTAAGTTCTCTACACAGCTACTACCTTCAAAGAGTTTATAATGTAGTTTGCAAGAGAGCAAAAAACGATGCAAGTAATTGCCAACCTGGGGCAGTTTATAGTAAATGCCAAATATGGATTTAACATGGAGTCAGCAAGCTAGGGTTTGAAGGTAGTCTCTGCCACATTCCTGCTGCATGAGCTTGGATAAAGGACTTCACATCTGTGAAAACCTTTCTCCTCATCTGAAAAGTGTACATACTTGCAATGCCTGTTTCATAGGGCTGTTGTGAGGCTTACATAGGAAACATGAAAAAAAAATAGTGAAAACACTGCTTTTCGGCCCCTTGCTTACCTGTTTTTTGGAACTTTCCTGGGGTCTTCTTACATGCTGAGGGAGTATAGGAAGGAGATCTTGTATGGTGAGGTGATTGAGAAGTTTTTACCAAGGATTTGGGGCTGGCTTTGGTCGTGAAGTGTGGCTGGGAAGGAAAGGAAGACCAAAGGAAAAACTAATAGGAGTGAAGACACCCAGGTGAGATGGTGAAGCCTGTACCCAAGAAATAATGAAATAGCTTTCATGAGGTTCTAAGGCTGCAGCGAAAGGTTGAGTGGCAGGAAGTCAAGTTGGGAGGGTGGTTAGGGTCATACATGGAGATCCTTCGCTGTGAATTGGGGAAGCAAACTTTATTCACTTGCCATGGAAGTTTTGTGAACAAATAATATCATTATCCAAAGTAGTGCTTTAGAGGCAGTTATGTGCTCCTAGTATATGCAGAATGGATCGAAAGGAGAAGAGACTGGAATCGGACTAACTAGCTGACTATTTTGGGACGCCAGGCATGGAGGAATGTGGCCTCACATAGGGTGTTATTTGGAATGGGGAGAATTCAGTAGTAAAGTCTGAACTCAATATATCTGACCCATAATTTTTGTTATTAAAGAATTCGAGGACTTGGCAGCTGGATATGAGACTGGATGTGTTTATTTGTTTATGTTCCTCTTTCTGAAAAACATAGAAAGCGTGTGTGTGTGCATGCATGCGTGGAACGGGGAGGGGAAGACAGGTGAGAGAGAGAGAAGCTAAAGGGAAAGAGAAGAGAGAAATAAGGGACAGTGTACATGAAAGCAGGTTATAATTTGAATTAATTGTGTTCTAAATGTTTGAGTCAGTTACTTGGAATTTGACCCTCATTATTCCAGAGACACAATTACGTAAACTGCAATACACTGTGAGCGGGTGTATTTGCTTTGAAAATAATACTATTGTGCTGCTGATACAATCAAATAAAGTAGGAAAGGAGGTCTTGAGGGAGTGTTTTCTCTCCCAAAGCTGTCTGTGCCTTCCTGTCACCCAGAAGCAGGTGCTCATTTGCATTTTCCCTGCCCTGCCTGCTCCCACTTTATGCAGGATTTACCCATCTAGAGCTTTTGCATTGGCATTCATTTCATCCTGGGCAGCTTGGCCCTGCAGATTGCAACCTTTTCGTTTATTTTCTGCCACCCTCCCAGCATTCACTGCATTCCCAGAATTGGGTTTGCGGCGGGTAGACACATACAGACGGCTCCATGGCTGCTTGCAGCCTGGCTGAGGAGATAGACAGTAAAAGAAGAAAGCAAAAACTAACTACAAAGTTCGAAAAAACAGATAAGCAAGGTGCCGAGGCAAGAACGGCAGTGGGGTAGTGGAGGTTGTTTGGAACATCATGTCCTCTGTACCAATCAGACAGAAAACTGGGAGTTACTCGGCCAGACGCTTCAGCCGCGCCTACTCCATCCCTCCAGGTCAGGGAAGGCCAGAAAGGGCCCCTTGTTCCTTTCCTCCCACTCCCGTCTTTCCTCCTAAGAGGAAGCCAGGTTCCTATGCCAGTAGACATAATCTCTTAGGAAAGCAAATAATAGATTAAGCATCTAAAATTGACCCATGTTATCTGGGTATACTTTTGGGGTCTTTATTCTCTCCCAAGTAAGAACATACAGCATTACACACTATTCTGTTATTCTGACAATTAATGAAAACTTGGTTGTTAGAAATAACATCCTGTGAAGACTGATGTTTGCCATTTGTGGAAGAGCTTGGAGAGCAGGAAGAAAAGGAAAGGTTATATACTTGGTGACACAAAGACTTTTCCACTGCATGTGGATGCTGGTCTTAAGTATTTATAATGAGTGATTTGGCCCCACTAAAAAGGACATGCTCACTTTATTTGTTCTATAATGTGGCAGCCAAGAAAATGGAACTTAAGTTGGAAAGACAGAAGCTCTTAGAAAAATGCTTTAAAGCTAATTAAACACAGCGAATAGCAGCCAACTGATGATTCATCCCTGTAGGCAGGTTGGTAAGTATTAACCCTGACTCCTGGAATTCAAATCGAGGACAAAGACTGCATTTCATTGTGATATTACATTGCTTTAAAGTACAGTTACGTTCATATGCCTATGCTTTGAATTTTAAGGCTAGTATTGGTTAATCCTAATACGAATTCATCCCGAAGGTAATTTACTTCCTAAGTGGCAAGTTATATCCATGTAACATCAATCCAGGTGACTGTAAACTCAGTTCTAACACTTGCTGAATTATTATAATTGGTTTCAACGAGGTAGTACTGTGTTTAAAGATTATAATCTTTCAGCCACCCATTCAGCAAGCATTTACTGGGTGTTTTCCTTGTGCCAGACATTGTGCCAGTTGAGGAGACTGTGAAGATTAATTTTTCATGGTCCTGCCCTCAAGCAGTCAGATGAGTCAGCAGATCATAGCATAGTGTAACTGTCACGGAGGGAGGCACAAGGAGTCCTGAAGAAGACGGTATGACACCGAAGGAGTATGGGACATCACCAGAGTAATGCATTCTTTTTCTTTTTAATAGCATTACTGAAATATAATTCACATACTATACAGTTAACTTATTTGAATGTATATAGGGATACATTTTTAAAATGCTGGAAGAAAAATAAGAGCCGACTAGTTGTTTGGCTTAGCAAGTCATGAACCTGTAGCATGTTCCAAAACGTAGAAGTAAAAGAAATGATGATACTTTGGGAAAAGCTGTCACTAGTTCAGGCTGCTTGTTGTACATGGAGGGGGTGGGATAAAAATCCAAGATGTGGTTGTATAGGTAGGTAGAGGCCAGATTCAGAAGGACCTCCTATGGCTGAGCTATTCAGACTTACATCTGAGAACAGTGGGAATCAGTCAAAGGTTTGAAGTAGGCAAGTGAGTTGATGAGATTTAGAAAGTTTTGGAAAGAGCACTCTGACAGCACAATAAAAAAACGGATAAAGGTGAGCTGAGGTAGGGGACAGAGCCTGGCAGTGGACCAGGTGAGCTCTGTCACCTCTAGTTCCAACTAAGGTAAGAACATTCAGAATTTGGAGGAGGAACATGGGACTGATTTGAAATAAACTAAAGGGGTACCAGCAGAGGTGGAGGATCAACTGCATGTGAGTAAGATGAAAAAGGAGGACTCTCAAAAGTCTTACTGCATGGGTAGGAGGCACAGGTAGACCAAGCAAGGAGGAAATAGAGCAGGAAGAACCATTTTGGCTGGGGGAGGTGATCCTAAGATATTTTTCAATGGAGCTCATCTAAATGATAATGAAGGCATTTAAGTAGGAGGCCTATGCTTTGGGTAATTTGAAAAGATTAGATATTTTCAAATGGCGACAAATACCATTCCAGTAAGATATAGTAGGTCATGTTCAAGAAATTTTAGTTTTATGATTACTAAGTAGAGTGGGTTAAAAAGTGCCCCCCTTCCAAAGATATCCAACTCTAACACCTGAAACCTGTAAATGTTATCTTATTGAAATGAAGGGTCTTTACAGATATGATTAAGTTAAGATCTTGTGTTGAGTAAATTATCCTGGATTACCTGAAGGGAGGCTGAGCTAATCAGTTGAAAGGCCTAAAGAGCAGAACTGAAGTTCCTCAGAGGAGGCAGTGCAAACAGAGTGGCTGAGATTGGAATGATGGGGCCACACGTCCAGCACTGCTGGAAGCTACCAGAAGTTAGAAGTGGGGAGTATGGTTGACTTCGAATTTCTGGTCTCCAGGACTGTGAGAGAATAATATTCTATTGTTTTAAACTACTCAATTTGTGGTAATTTTTTTTACAGCAATCATAGGAAGATAGTTCACTAAGTTTCTCATTTAGTCTAATCCTTAATTATTTGTGTAATAAACCTATGTAAAAAGGCATGTGAGTATATTATGACACCTATGAAACTCTTGGTAGCACATGTATTGATAAAAAAAACATCGGGATTTAAAGCAGGTACATGGGTTCAGTTTTCCCTGACAATTTGGTTAAAAGCAAGGCTCCTCAATCACCAGTATTTACTCACTGATCAACTTTGTTAAACTCTGCTGTGTTTTTATAAAAGTATTTTATCGACATCTCACTTTTCTACATTCTTATGTTGTTCTATTTGGTAACTTTTAGCCCATATATCCTCTCTGTGCTATTTATATTGCAAAGTTGGAGCAATTTAAATGTCCGATACTTAATGTATTATGTATATACACCATAGTTTAAAAATGTAATACTGTATGAATATGCATAAGAATCGACATGGTAACTATATGGTTTAATCATGTTTCAGTTATTTTGCTTATTTTTTCCCCCAGGTTGGTTTTTGATGTCTGCCATGGTCCTTTTTTGCTTGTCGGTATTTTATTTATTGCCCTTCCATGAAGCATGCTACTATTTCTTTTGTAATACATTGTAAAAATAAATCAAGGCCTGTTTTACAATGTTTCTTTCTTTTAAAACATGTTAAACTTGTCAGACTGCATTTTCATTTTTGTGCCAAGGGATGAAAAACAATCAGATTGTTTCAAGGACTCTTCAATTGTTGGACGTGTGTTTTCCTAACTTCTTACAAAACCCCTCTGAATTTCTCTTGGGCAGTTAGGTGGATGTGGGACAGAGCAATATAGAGACAGCAGCACACCAAATTTACCAGTAGTTGAGAAAAGAGAACTGGAAAGATTTAGCTTTTACCAAGTCAGCTTTTAGACCAAGTTATCATGTTGACCAGCTACCTTCCTTTGGAGAGTGATTGCTCACCAAACCACCTGAAGGATCAGTGTTTCCACTGCTTCTTTTCTTAGCTGTTCTTTGCCTGGTGCTCCATCCTGATGTTATTTTTATGTAGTCATTCTTCCTCAGGCAATTTGAACCATTCACTTGCTACTTGTCTGCTCACCAGCCAGGCCCACTGTGCCCAGGGTGCCCGAGGGCTCCTGGTGGATTTGTAGGCAGGGCTTGGGTTCCACAGTTTGAGCTGAGATCCCTGGAGCTCCATAAGTATGAGAGAAAGGACGCCATGCTTTCTCCACGGATGGAGGTGAGCACATAATTCTTACTTAAGGATGTCTTAAGCCTTTTTATTCTGGAAATGTTGGCAGTATCGCTTTCCCAGGAATGAAGGTGTAGAGATCGCTGAGCTATACTTGAGGACATTGACTCATAGGAGCTTTGTTGTTTCCTTTCCTCATGCCTTTTGAATTCTTTTAAACCTCATGTTATGCTAGTCTTCATGCTGAAAAGTTAACTGCTCTGCTGGTCCAAGTCTTCATTTACTTAAAAGACAAATAGGTCTTCTGTTTAATCACTTTTTCTGTGGTTGATTATTTGACATGCCACTTTTATTCATATAGGCCAATGACATGCGTACAATTCTTGAGGAAAGTTAAAGATGAAGTGCTATTATGATTTCCCATATGGAATAATCCACTTTTATTACACTAGTAATGCCTTTATTACACTAGTAATGTCTTTATTTGGTCACTTGACTTTTAAATTTAGATTGAGAAGAAACATAAGAGGAAAAACCTCACTAGTTCTGTCCTTGTTTTTATTTTTGCAATTGTATATGGCAAGCTTTCTAAAGACTTGTGTACAAAGTTGTAATACATTTTTTCCCTTCTCCTCTTTCAGGCACCAGGAATGGCTCGTTCTTGGTCTGTGTTGGATGAAACTACCTTAACCTGATTTTGTGCAGGTAAGAATATCGCATGGCACTTCTTAGTGATAAGGCAACATCTAACAATTCACAAAAATTTGAAAGTTCAGTTGTACTTATTGTAATACTCACCTGCTAGTTGTAGGGTTATGTTTTAAAACCGGGTGAAGAGTAACTTTTAGAATGCATCTGGAAGTAAGTTTTACCTAAGTTAAGTAATGTAAGTGTCTGATTTATCTACACGAGTAACTAAATTTGTAAGCAATATGTACAACTTTTTGGTCTCCCCAAATTTGGCATTATAATGACTCTGGAGATATTTTATCTTTTTCCTTTACCACAAAGCAAATGTTGACCCATTATCTGAACAAATTAGTTAATAAAGTCCTACCAGGTTTAATCATGGATCTATTTGATTCTTTCCTATTGTTAATAGTTTCACTGGCATAGTAAAACCAGACCACCATTAGACAATTTTACAAAGCAACATTGTGCATTTAAATTTAGATGCTCTGTACCTATAGTACTGATAATGTTTGTTGTTCTGAAGAAATCTTTTAAAACAAGATCATTGTAAGACCATTAATAAGCATTAAAATACACTTATTTGAATCTTCCTATTCTTTATTCATTTATTTATAATTTGATAGCAGCTTTATTGAACCCTGAAATGACAAGAGGAGTAGATGCAATTACTCATATGAAATGATACATGATTAATTCTCAGAATGGATAACATGTCCTTTGGGAAACAGAATCTTACCTACATAGTTGCTTACATAGGCTCAGTAATCTCACTGGCAATGGTGATCGTTTATATCCATCTCTCTTTTGAAAATAGTGAGTGAGAGAAACACTTCACGGGACAGTGAGTCTAGATTTGTAGGCTTTCAGGACTTTGACTTTAAAATTATGTCCTTTAGTCATACAGGGGTGAGGGTAGTTTTGTATACTTTTCATTAAAAATCTTTGAAGTAAGGTACTCATATGGTATTCTTGAATTAGTCCAAATGCATTCTCCATTTTTGAAGCATGAAAACACAGAATTAACAAAACATTGTTACTCAAGACAAGACATATTTATTTTAGTACTGAGTTCATGATCCATATACAAAGCTATTTTAGCAGAAGAGATGAAAATATTTTATATTCATTCTACTTTCATGAGTGCATCTTTTATATGATACATCTTTTATGTGATCAGTAGTATGCACTTTGGTAACTAGATTATTTCATTCTAAAGATCTCTTGTATTTTATGTTTTAAGAAATATTTTCAAAATACTTGAGTGTACTTACTACATTGAACACTAGACAGATGTTTAATGCTGCTGAGAATTTATACCAGAATGTCATTTATGTTCTGGGTGTGTTTAAGGGATGTTAAAACACAGATGGGAAATATCTGAGAAAAAGAGCACTTGAAAATAATTATTTTGTTTATTTCAATATGCATGTTTATTTCTGATAATCAGGAAATAGGTGATTGCCAGAAGTTCTAGGTACTTAGATGGCTTATAAAAATAATTTTTGTAAATTTTAATATTGGTGTTCAATTTAAATAGATATGCCTAGTTAAGTCATAGTTAGCTGTTTTGCTGTTTTAATTTTGGTTATTTAAAAGATTGTGGTTTTGAAATATTTTTTGGCATAGATACATACTTTGTGGGCTGTAGGAAAAAAAAGTTATGTTTTCACAAAAAACTATGTTAATATGAGTATTTATAAATACATTCTAGAAGTCATATACTACTTTAATGTTTCATTTTGAATGTAATACAGTAGAAATTATCAGCAAAAGATATTAGGATATAAATTTATTTTAAACATTTTATTAGAACATAGGGACTAGGTTTTTTCAATAAAAATCTCCTTCTTGCAATTGAAGTATAAAGAGTAATATTTGATAACCTAATATTAAAATTGAATCATGGCAGAGGAGTCCAATGATGATTTATTGGTTCTAAGAACTGAATAATTTCTTTGTTGTGAATTTTCTGTCTGCTGTGTACATACAAAGAAGGCCTTAATGGGACTTAGGTGAAATAGGAAGAACTTATGAATAATAAATTTTAAAAATAAAATGATTAATCACAAAACATAAGAAACCACTACTAGAGAGCTTTAGAATTGTTGCAGATTTTTATTGAGACACACAGTTAGGTGCTAATATTTGTTGAGCAATCATAGAATGTACAACATTGTACCAGGTGGTTTTAGATGGAACATTTATTCTCCAGTTAGGAAAATAAAAAGTCACTCAAGAAACATACCGTGCAAAAGTATATATATTCTGTGGTGGGTTAAGACTTTTAAAAGGTATTAGAGACAAGTATAGTTAATCATGAAAGGTGAGGTATTAAGAATTTGGATGAAAAGTTATAGATTGGTAGGAAAATGATCTGTAATAATTTTTAAGTAGAGAGGCATAAAATGGATTATATGAAATTTACTTGATAATCATAAATCAGATAAAAACTCTTGATAACTATTCTAGCTTAATACCTCAAATACAGATAAATTTCAAGAGAATCGTTTTTTATTTTTAATAGAGCACTGTTTCTCTAACTGTGATGTAGAATTACCTTAATGAGAATCACCAGAGATGGCTATTAAAATTCAGTTTCCTGGGCCCCAGTCCTAATGAATCAGAATCAAAGGCTGACACCCTGGAAACTGTATTTTCTGGCTGCTATATGTGGGTCTGATATAAAGTTTGATAGTGTTATAGAAGTTATGATTTAGATTGATCAAAAAAGAGGAATATAAAGGTAATAAAAAGACAAAAGTTACCTACTCTAGGAGAACAATTAGTTTTAGTGACATTGGTAAAGGGAAATGGAATTATGACATTTTATCCTTTTAGGCCATATGTGCTTAATATCTTCCTCTGACTAAATAAATTTTAATATTACCATGAATGATAATATGAAAGTACATTTCCAAATAAATTCAGTTCTCTTGGTGTATTTAAAATACTTTATTAATTTTTGACAAAGTCTTAGAAACAAATCTACCTTGCAAAACAAAGAGGCATCTAGATGCAACTGAACAAGAATAAACTTGTTCATGTGAAGATAGACATACCCTCACAAAGACAGGAGTTCATTCATTTAAATGTACTTGTTTTATTATATTCTCAATGTCACATGACATATTTAGGCTATTTTCTGAGAAATTTACTTTGAAGATGTATATAGTATTTAAAAATAAAATAATTTTATCTGATGTATTACCATTTTTATTTTAGAAAAGCTACCTTCTATTACTGTGGGAAAAAAATGGGGCAATACTCCCTGGTAAGGCTAATCTTGTCAAGTGCCAAATTTATCAAAGAAACTGCTTCTTGAACGCAGTACTGTTCTTTCCTAAGAAATATAGGTGCCTTTGTCTAGCAGAATATCCTTAAAATTATCTGTGAGAATAACCTGCCCAGGCCTGAAAACTACACAAATGTGCTACCCTTTGAGGTCATGGCAGTGAGTCGTGTAAAGATCCTTCCAGAATTGATCTTTTGAGTTTGCAGGGTACTTTTTTCTTGTTTTACATTTTTTTTAACCCAATGATAGCTACAACTGTTAAAATCTTTACTTTTTAATTTTGAAAGACCAGTGTGTGATCTAGATTTCTTGGATGACCTAAATATGAGTAGAATTGTTTGAAATATAAAAACCTCAAAAAAAGAACCCCAACTTTTTATTACTTCTGTACATTTTAAAATTTTATTAGTATGTAATTTTTGTTTGTAATTATATATTTTATCTAATTTCTCCTAAATAGGCAGAAAATATAGAAGTTGTGGTGTAAGTTTGAAAATGTTTCACTTACCCAAATCCCATTCCTATCCCCAAAGATAGTAACTGTTACTCATTCAATGAGATAATTTCCAAACTTTTTCTTGCATACACAAGTACATAAGCAAAATACATATCTAGTTTTAAAATAAAAAATTATGTATTATTTTAGTACTGAGTTCATGATCCATATAAACAGCTATTTTACCAGAAGAGATGAAAATATTTTATATTAATTCTACTTTCATGAGTGCATCTTTTATATGATATATCTTTTATGTGATCAGCAGTATGTACTTTGGTAACTAGATTATTTCATTCTAAAGATCTCTTGTGTATTATGTTTTAAGAAATATTTTCAAAATGCTTGAGTGTACTTACTACATTGAATACTAGACGAATGTTTGATGCTGCTGAGAATTCATACCAGAATGTCATTTATGTTCTGTGTGTTTTGAAGGGATGCCAAAGCACAGGTGGGAAATATCTGAGAAAAAGAGCACTTGAAAATAATTATTTTGTGTATTTCAATATGCATTTTTATTTTTGATAATCAGGAAATAGTTGATTGCCAAAAGTTCTAGGTACTTAGATGGTTTATGAAAATGATTTTTAAAAATTTTAATATTGATGTCCTACTATTTGAAATAGATATGCCCAGTGTAGTCATAGTTAGCTGCTTTGCTGTTTTAATTTTGGTTATTTAAAAGATAGTGGTTTTGAAATGCTCTTTGGCATAGATACATACTTTCTGAGCTGTAGGAAAAAAGTTATGTTTTCACAAAAAACTATGTTAATAAGAGTATTTATAAATACATTCTAGAAGTCATGTACTACTTTAATGTTTCATTTTGAATGTAATCCAGTAGAAATTATCAGCAAAAGATATTAGGATATAAATTTATTTTAAGCATTTTATTAGAACTTAGGGACTAGGTTTTTTCAATAAAAATTTCCTTCTTGGAATTGAAGTATAAAGAGTAATATTTGATAACCTAATATTAAAATTGAATCATGGCAGAGGAGTCCAATGATGATTTATTGGTTCTAAAAACTGAGTAATTTCTTTGTTGTGAATTTTCTGTCTGCTGTGTACATAAAAAGAAGGCCTTAATGGGACTTAGGTGAAATAGGAAGAATTTATGAATAATAAATTTTAAAAATGAAATGATTAATCACAAAACATAAGAAAGCACTACTAGAGAGCTTTAGAATTATTGCAGATTTTTATTG